CTGCAAGATCTTGTGGAACATGACTGTTATGAGATTAAGCTGGTATTAATCTCATATAAGGCAGGGTTCTTTACATTATGATATCGGACCGATAAGTATGACGTCATAATCTCCTGACATCGGGCCGGTAGTTATAGTGCACCTCTAGTATAAATCGGACCTTTGTACAACGGGCCCCTGGTCAGCTGACGGGTGGGTGAGTGTGTTTGTGCTTACATGATCAATAAAAGACCCCAGGAAGTGGTTCATGGTGTTGTAGGCTCTGAACTGCAGCTCTGACAAGTTGGCTGTGGAGGCATCCATCAGTCGTGAAGGTCTGTTCCTCTGGACAACAAGAACCATTAAAAGAGAAGTTTGAGAATCTTTAGAATATTACGTTCTGAAGCAGAAGAACAAACATAAAAGATGTGAGCACAAACCCTGCTGAGTGAGCCCTGGATCCTGTCGAACTGCGACCTCAGATTTCTGTTGATGGACACCTGAAAAGTCTGAATATCTGAGTTGGGAACGAGACCCCGCTGACCACACAGAGACTCCTTATAAATCAAAGAAACGAGATTTTTTTAAAAAAAAAGGTGTAACATTAATAATATACCACCTGTCTTAAAGTATCAGTGAAAAAAACAAGTTGTCTGTGTGCATACACGTTCTCTCTTCAGATTGTTGTTCATTTCCTCCATGTTTGTGTCGGCGTGCCCGTGCACCGAACGCCCATGGATGTAGTACCCAAAACAGGTGTGGGACAACAACAGCACAGAGATCTGAAAACAACAAAAACAATACACAAACCATCTTTAAATAAAATAACACGGATGGTAAAATATTAAAGAGATGATGTGACTGGGTACCCACGTTACTGACAGAGCAAAGATCCACAAACTGCCGAATCTTGTCCTCTACGAAGTGCTCGTAAAAGACCGTGAAGAAAATCACCTGTGGGGATATACGGGTGTCGTAAGAGGATCTCTGGAGTTAGACTCCTCTAAGTTCTTAAGCATGGTTTACCTGCAGAAGTCCAATGCAGAGCCAAAGTGTGGCTGCAACACCGTACCGCAGGACCAGGCTGTAAGGAGGGGTGTACGCCTGCGGGAGGCGCTCTAAAGTCGACCAGGGGTCCCTCAGTGCCAGGTTTGAGAAACCCAGCACCTGAACACACACACACACACACACACACACACACACACACACACACACACACACACACACACACACACACA